TTTTACAATATTTCTTAAATTACTCCTCACAGAATTTCTTGTAGTCCTACAAACGTAATTTGATCATCACAAATACTTTTCAAATACTCAGTAAATTTAGTCCAGTCTTCGGTAAACCTCTGGTCCCGCCGGTCTCGGATCCTTCCTGTTAGCTTGTCTAATTCTGCGTAGTCCATTAATTTCATCCTCCATTCTTCTAATGTTGGAAGTTCTTCTTGCTTCCATTTTTGGGCCAATAATATTCTTGCTGCTGTTACTGCATATAAAAACAACTTACAATCTTTCCTGAGTTAACGCTTTGTTGGCAAACAAAACAATCTCCACAAACTTGGCTGAATGCCAGGCCTAATGATGACTGGCTTCCATGGATCAGTTGCCAAGACTGGAAGTCCCCACCTCCTCACAGCCATCTTAAGTCTCCTCCTCTCCAGGGCTTTCCCAAGCAATCAGAGACTGCGCCTCCTCCACCCTTTTCATGCTTCTACTGGTTCTGGGAGACAAGGGGAAGAGGAGATTGTTGCAGCAGGAAAGGAGGACACTTGCAACTCTTCACCAGCCTGTCTCATCTCTGCCTCTTGATCTCCCTCCCCTCCCTCACCTGCTTCAGCTTCTGCCTCTGATTCTGGACTTCTCTCTGCCACAGACTCCCCCAGCTCACTAAGTCCTGTTGCTTCTTCATCTTCCAACACCTTCTCCTCCCAGTCTTCTCCCTCTGAACACTCATCGTTGTCCCACCACCACTCCCCAGGCTCTGAGCCTTCTTCCCTTGGCAGTTCCCCAGCTGGTTCCTCCCACCATTCCTCTGCATCCAACCAGTCCATTACACTGGTGGAAGAGTGGGGATTATTCCCTCTGGCAGGCCGAAATGTCTGGGCTGATGGAACATTCAACACATTGCAGCATTGCCTTCCTCAGGTAGTGCCAGAGCTGTGAGTTGGAATGTGCCCGGCTCAAACCCTACCACTGAACTCACCCGCTTGCTTTGAGCAAGCCACTGCTTTATGCTCTCAGGCCGGCTCTACCATGAGCAGAATGAGGCAGCTGTCTCAGGTGACAGATTCTGAGGGGTGGAAAGGGGCTAGAAAGGTGGACCATGTGGTCTGCCCACCACTCCCAAAGCTAGCTTGCTGCTCTAGCATGGTTGGTGCTGGTCTTGACCTTTGTGGCTTAGGGCCCTCGTATCTACGGGACCACCTCTCCTGGTATGCCCCGCAGAGGACCTTAAGGTCCATGAATAACCATAGTTTAGAGGTCCCAGGCCCTAAGGAAGTCAGACTATCGGTCCACCAGGGCCAGGGACTTTTCAGTGAAGGCTCCAACCTGGTGGAATGCTCTGTCCCATGAGACTAGGGCCCTTCAAGATTTAACCTCCTCCCGTCGGGCCTGTAAGACAGAGCTATTCCGCCTGGCCTTTACTTTGAATTCAGCCTGATCTTTTATTTCCCTTCACTTCCCTCCCTCTCCCCTTTTATGAAGATCACCCGCTCTGAGACCCCACAGCTAATTCTCCCCTGGCCTCCTCGCTGGCCCAAGTAGGACCAGTTCAGCCGCTAGCCCTGGGGATTATCTAATTGATTTTTTTATTTTTATTGTTATTCATGTTTTTATACTGTATTGTATGCTGCTTTTATAATTAAGTGTTTTAAAGTGTTTTAAATTTGTTGTTAGCTGTCCTGAGCCCGGTTTTTGAACCAGGAAGGGCGGGGTATAAATAAAAATTTATTATTGTTGTGATGATGATGATGATGATACCAATGAAGTAATCTGAGGCAACCCACAGTGGGTGGGAGATCCTGATCTGGCCTTGGCGCCACCGCCTTCTGGCTTTGCTTCGGGGAAGGTAAAGACACAGCCCAAAGTCAAGGACAGCAGCAGCAACGCCTTGCAGAACACCCTCTTTTTGCCACACTTCTCAGTGAAAACATTGCATTCCTGCAAAACTCCTGCATTGCTGTTGGTCTCCTCCCACCCTCCCGGGGTGTGGGTCTGGATCTGGGCTGGGGGCATCAGTGGCGTGCATTGCCTTGGGTGCCGAAAAGTCTCAGGCAGGCCCTATCTGTCCCTCCCTGTGCCTTTTTGCAAAAGCCAGCCTTATAGGACCATTGGCACTGTGGGTTAAACCACAGAACCTAGGACTTGCCGATCAGAAGGTCGGCGGTTCGAATCCCCTGCGACGGAGTGAGCTCTCGTTGCTCTGTCCCTGCTCCTGCCAACCTAGTAATTCGAAAGCATGTCAAAGTACAAGTAGATAAATAGGTACCCCTCCGGTGGGAAGGTAAACGACGTTTCTGTGCGCTGCTCTGGTTCGCCAGAAGAGGCTTAGTCATGCTGGCCACATGACCCGGAAGCTGTACACCGGCTCCCTCAGCCAATAAAGCGAGATGAGCACCACAACCCCAGAGTCGGTCATGACTGGACCTAATGGTCAGGGGTCCCTTTACCTTTACCTTAAGGATTAAGTGTTCTTGTTTTTTCTGGGGGTACTCAAGGATACACAGTACTGGCACATTTTTTTCTTTTCCAAATGTTAAAAGTGTGGCACTTTCTGTAACAACTTTATGGGGAGTACCAGCACTTTCCCCCCTCCAAAAAAGCACTGATTAAGACAATGTACACAAACTCTTCTGGGTAATCTTAAAGTGTTAAACTGTGTAATAGAAAGTGCGCTATATTGTTAGTAAGCAAGAACGATCATTCATTGTTACGACACACTGTGATTCTGTTTTGCTTCCCATTTCCCATTGGACAATAGCCTTATTATTATTATAACATGCCTCCATCAATTAAAGCTGATCCCAAAGCTTTAGGCGGCAACCCCCACTGCACAGAATTAGATCTCAGTAGGGGCCTGCAAAAGCTTGTTACCAGCCAAGCTCAATGCAATCCAGCACCTATAGGAAGCTGCTGAGTTAGCTCATTGTTCCATCTAGCTTAGTTTTGCCCGCACTGGCTGGCAGTGACTCTCAAGGATTTCAGGCAGGATTCTTTGCACAAGGGAGTGGATATGGAACGTTTTCGCTTGCAAAACAGATGCTCTCCCGCTGAGCTATGGCCCTTTCGCCTTGTATGTGGTTCAAGGGGCCTGACATGACAAACTTTGCAAAACAGCAAAACCAAGAGGGTTGTTTTTGTATGTGAGAGATAAGCCTGCTGGGTCATCCTGGACAATTGGTGAATTTAATGTTGTGCAGAAATGCACAGGATTGTGGTTATTGCTTGTTTATGTTCTTCCATGCACTAGCAATAAATTTTTCCATTTCACACCAACAGCTGGATAACCCCTTTATTATTTACTTTTCAGAGGGACTGTCCTAAAACTTATTGTCCTGGCTCTCTCCACCTGCCCCCTCCTGCAGCCCCCTAGATACAGCTGCCCCCTGGTGTGGTTTAATAAAGCCATTTCCTCTCTGTGCACGGTTGCATTCCCAGCGCGGAAACGATAGTATAATTCCTTGCCCTAGAGGCCGTGATTCTGCTTAATGAGCAGCGTATTATTAAGCATTTCTTCCAGTTGTTTGGAGCATAAACTTCTGCTCCAGCGGTGTTTAGTGTATACCAGTCTCCTTGGAACAGTAACCAGACTGCAGGGGAGGGCAGGAAAAAAAAGGGGGGGAAATGCTTCTAATGTACATTCCACAATAGGCAACCCAATCAGAAGAGATGCTACCCCAGGAAATAAATGTTCAGAAGTTCAACAACTGCTGCACCAAAATGCCAAACATGCATTGTGTTGTCCCAGCGTCAATGGCCATACTGGAATACAATACTTGTCCTACAAGGGACGTGGGTGACGCTGTGGTCTAAACCACTGAGCCTCTTGGGCTTGCCGATCAGAAGATTGGCGATTTTAATCCCCACAACAGAGTGAGCTCCTGTTGCTCTGTCCCAGCTCCTGCCAACCTAGCAGTTCGAAAGCATGCCAGTGCAAGTAGATAAATAGATAAATAGGGAAGGTAAACGGGATGTCCATGCACTCTGGTTTCCGTCACGGTGTTCTGTTTCACCAGAAGCGGTTTAGTCATGCTGGCCACACGACCTGGAAAGCTGTCTGTAGACAAATGCCGGCTCCCTCAGCCTGAAAGCGAGATGAGCGCTGCAACCCCATAGTTGCCTTTGACTGGACTTAACTGTCCAGGGGTCCTTTACCTTTACCTTACTTGTCCTACGCCAGGCTTCTTCAGCCCTTCAGATGTTTTTGGCCTACAACTCCCATGAGCCCTAGCTAGCAGGACCAGTGGTCAGAGATGATGGGGGCCTGTAGTCTCAAAACATTTGGAGGGCCGAGGTTGAGGAAGCCTGTCCTACGCTATAAGATGGAATGTGGTGCAGTGTTCGTCTTGGGCAACAGAATCCACAGTGGTAGCAGATCCAACCTCCAAGGAATGCATTGCCTGCTGCTGCTGCTGCTGCTGCTGCTGCTGCTGCCACCACCACGTTTTCCTTGGAGGCTGAATCTGTTGTTTCCTCTGCAGCCCTGCCAGTGCCTCCTCTACAGTGGCCTCTTGGTGAATAGGAGGCACTGCTGGTATCCTCCCAGCCTACTTCCTGGTGTGTATTCTGCCCTTGTTCCTGGCGTAGATCTTCACTCACTCCTTCTTCTCTGGCAGGGAGGGAGGAGTGCCTCATGTTATGTATTGAAGTTCTCACCCTGGCTACCAGGGGATATTGTGTATATAGTTTTCACTCAGGTCCACATAAGTTAATTTAGGCGGGAAACCCTGGATTGTTATTGTTACAATGTTGACAGCCGGCTGCCTATAAAAGCAGGCCGGCTGAGCTGTTTGAGTTCAGTTCCAGCTTACTATAAAGAACCACTTGGAGAAATCTCTGTGTCATCTGCTTTGTCCACTCACAACTTAATACCTCAGGTGCCAAAATGTCTTGGGCTGGCCCTGCTTGACTCAGCAGTTTTTTTTGACGATGTGACTCATGGCATTCACTTGCATGCAGAAATGCAGGTTTGTAATTCCCTCTCAATCTTCCCTCTTGTCCTTTTCCAGAGGCAACCGTTTTAAGCTACGACGGAAGCATGTTTATGAAAATACAACTCCCCGTGGTGATGCACACTGAGGCAGAAGACGTGTCCTTGCGGTTCAGGTCTCAGCGAGCTTATGGCATTCTAATGGCCACCACTTCGAGGGAATCTGCTGACACGCTGCGTTTGGAACTGGATGCAGGACGAGTTAAGCTAACAGTCAACCTAGGTAACGTCCCTCCCCGAACTCCCACCCTGAAGTTAACATCTCAAACATCCTTTTTTGGTGTGCGTCTTTGCCTGCAAACACCTATTCAACAGCCTGTTGGCCACTGAAAAATCAAATGAAACAGAAATATATATATGCAGTTCTCATGCATATACATATATTTGCAACATACATAAGTTCATTATTCGTTGAGTTTAATTTCATCTTTACACACTCCACCATAACCCACCATTATTAATTCTGAACTGCAGTCTGTTCTAAAAAGAGAAGACCACCAGCATTAGCAGGCAACCTGTTTTTGTTTTGTTAGCATCTTACCCAACAAGGTGGGTGTCTCAGCCCAGAATTTCCCATATTGCTGCATTACACAAGTAAATCCTAGTCCAAAACACATGCCCCTGGGTGCTGGGGAAGCTCTGTTGGTGTGTCTGCATTGTGCATGCAAGCTTCATGCACAATGTTTCATGCAGCTTCTGTGGAGCACAGGATTTGGGTACCCAGAGAGTCAGTTCTTCTGATGCCAAGGGGGTGCAGGGTGGCAACTGGGGAAAGCTCCCCTGCCCCAACCAGGCAGTCCACTCACACAAGCAGTTTAAAGTCAGAGCTGCCATTCTGTGCTCATGTACATTTGGGGCTCTAAGGCTGTGTACACACTCCGGTTGACTCTGCATCCAATGTGTTCACACTGCTGGTTTCTGAAGCCGTGTACACATGGTGTTAGCCACAATTCACACCTGCCCTGTAGTTTCTTGAGAAGTACTGTGTTTTGATTAGCTCCCCACCCCAGACCTGCTTTAATCCAATTTGAGAACAGAAGGAATGCAAAGATCTCCACGCCCTTTTTACAAGCCGGTTTGGAACTGGATAGTGAACTTTCAACAACAGCCTAGCTGTGTGTGCCAGGTTGATCAGGCCTGAGACACACAGCCTGGGAATCTTTCTTTGCAAAAGGAAATACCAGGATGAACAACCCACAACCTGGGGGGTCTAGCTTTACAAGAGACTGTAGCCTTATACCAATGTGACACAGCTTCAGATCTTTCTATTCCTTCTGAAAAGAAGCTCTAGGAAAGGGAAATTGAGTTATTAGCACACTAGCCCTAATCACACACACACACACACACACATATGGGGAAATGCACACCCAAAAAGAGGATCCTGGAGTCAACACACAACGAGCAACTTCCAAACACATCTTGCCGTAATGATGTGTACAGTGTCTTTCAAATGTGATTTGAAGCTCAGCTGTAGGGAAAACAAACTTGCTGCATTTTAAGCCGGTGATGTGTGCACAGCCCAAAACCACACTGTTGTTCTGAATAGTTTACTCATGCAAACTGAGTTTGCCCCAGCATATAATCAGAACCTACTCTGTTAAAAACCAGCAAGCTATTAAGCCCTTTCCAGTATGTTGTACTTGATTTTGGCTTAATGTGTTAGAACACATAAAAGATACGCAAGCAACAGAAACCTGATTGCAAGCCACATTTTTGTTTGTTTCTGGTCTTCTCTATAGAGCAGCCTGACATTACATACTTTCAAATCCATCTCCCTCCCTCCTTTGATTTGATTTTTTTTTTTAGAACTCCCCCCGCTACAACTTCATAGTGATCTTGTGTGTGTGTGTCACAAATAACACGACCCTTCAATGCCCAAAGTCTGCGGCCCTCAGCAAACAGCCATGTGAACACAAACCACATAAGCTCTCCTGCAGAAATAATATCATGCTTTCCTAGGTTTTTTTTATAGCATTTAGAAATAATTGATCGTTGCTTTATTCACCGAGGAACCAAATGCAAGTTTACCAGAACGACTTCCTTTTTTTGTGTTGTGAGAGAGATTATTTTCAGGACTTTTTGTACAGCGTTAAACAAAACAAAACAAAACAAAACCCTTCCCTTCGGCGTGATTTTCGCTTTTAAATTGCGAAAGTTGGCAGGGCAGAGTGATATATTCAAAATCCATTTTTTTTGTATAGGAATGCGAGATAATTGAATTTTGATTATATTAATTCGATTCTGCAATAGGGAGATCAAACAAGGACACTTTTCTTTAGCTTCAGATAGAGCCCTCTAGTGACATTTTGGAGTTCCTGCAAGCTGATGCATTATTTTAATAGCCTGATGGTTGTCGGATAGTGGCCAGGAGAGGGCTCTTTTAAGAAAGCTTTCTGTAGACAGAGGCATGTAGGTGATGTGCCTTGGCTGTTTGCCACCACTTTTCTGATGCGGTTGACGACACATGACAAACTCAGCTACATGGAAACAAAATCTAGGTTGTTATTTTTTAAGAAATAAAAGCAATAATATTGATGATCCTCAAAGACCATGTAGAGGAACAAATGAGTATGCTGCTAATTTGAGAAGGGTGTTTCAATTTGCCTGTACAAAGTGCACATTTCCCTTACATTATGAATAAAATAAAAGCATTGCCCCGCCTGTTATTCACCACAAAGGCGGAATAAATTTGCTAACGCTCACAAGCGAGAAGATGTCGAAAAGCATCCTCTCGAAAGTCAAAGAGCAAATTATAATATTGCTTCGCTATAATCTATTAAAATAAGACATTTCTAGAGGAGATGGCGAAGTCACTTTTCCTATGTTTACTCAACGACTTCAGTAAAAGCGAAGGGTATTTCCAAGGATTGAGAGACCATCTAAGGTGGTTGGAATATTACAATTACAATTTTAAGCTTTTAAAATTGCATCCTCCTTTGAGGCATTAACTGTGATCCAGAATGTGTGATTATTGGCTTGGCTTGTACTATTCCCCATTGTGACGGAGCACTTTTATTATTTTTTAAATTAAAATTGAGAAGATTAATCTGTTCTTTCATATATGGGGGAGAAAGTGGCAGCCAGCTTAAATCCAGTATCTGGACCAGTTTCTCCACAAGCCTTTATTCCCCACTTAGATTTGTCACCATGTAGCTTTGTTTGAAATTGGCCATATTTTTTTTATCCTCTATTTCTACTCACTTCTATTTATAAAGTTTTTTATCACCATATATCTGCGTTCTATGGCAATACCGAAAGAATCTGAACACGCAGTGGCCATGTTTGCATGTGTCTGTCCCCGGAAGGGTGGACTGTGATTTTATTGGATGTCTGCAGCTATTACTTTGAAGGATAAATTTTCATTTCTCATCTATTCTTCCCCATCTAGACTGTATCAGGATTAACTGTAATTCCAGTAAGTGCCTATTCAAAATTTTTAAACTTATTGTTCCTCCATTTATGCAATATTCACAAACTTTAGATTAAGACATGGTGTGCATCCTTTTTTGTTTTTGTTTGCATACTTAAAATGACTTGCATTTGAAAAAGATGTAGCAAATTCCATGGGTGTGAAAAGAAATCATCGCACATGGCTTGCCTTGCCTGCCCTAGAGTAGACTTGTCCCCATCCCCACCCCACCCCCTGAAATTTCAGGCCAAACATCTAAGAAGTTTCAAGGACAGTTTAAAGAATCAGGCATAGAAATGCCACAGAGTCTTCTGTCATCTGCAGAGCATCCTTCAATTTCCCTAAAAGTCAAAGCAGTTGTGGAAGTTTTGCCCCTGTGTTCCAGTAAGACTAAATATGTCTTGTATGTGAGGAAAGGATGACTGTATACCCCTAATATTTCTCAATTACTGAGGAATTATCTGCCTTCTTGGGTGTTTTTTTTAAAAAGAATTATATTGAAATTTTCTCAAACAAATTAGAAACACATAATAAAAAACAACACCACACACACAACAGAACTTGATTGTGAATGTAGTCCTCTTTCCACTGGAGCCAACTCCAGGAGGCTGTGGGTGCTGGGTGCCCACAAAGTCAATGGGCAAAGTTGAAGCCCTTGGTCATGGGCACCCACAATATTTGGCTTAAGATGGCACCTATGTCTGGTTCTGCTTGGTGTTGTGCAGTGGGAGGATTGAAGAGGCCACAACCATAGAGAAGAAACAGCAATCTAGAAGTCCAAAGGAAGTACTTCATACATTTTTAAGGTATCTTCACTCCCCCTTTCTTCCCTGGCAGTGGCTGCATGGCACCATTTTGTGGTTTGCCTCAGATGCCAAAACGCCTTGGGCCAGCCCTGTCAGTCCCACTTTTTTTCCAGTTGGAAGTTATGATTGCTCAATAAGTCTGCAGTTTTGTATGCTGGGAGTAAATTCCACTGAGCTCAGTGGAATTTACTTCTAGGTGGATATGTATTGGATTGCACTGTACACGGGTTCCCATCCCCCAGCCCTCCAAATATATACATATTGAAATGAACTTTCACAGTGTGATATATCAAAATCTGTTTATGCAGCGTTGAACAACAACAAAAGCCAGGTAGAACTTTAACAGATTGATCTATTGATTGAGGTTCACACCAGTAGCTTTTGTCCACAGCCTTTGTTAATTTAAGGTGGCAGGTGAGGGGGACTGTGTGGGAACCCTGGTTGTTCAATGCATGGTCCCAACTATCGGTAGCATCAAGGTCACAGGGGTCAGCAAACCTTTTCAGTGGGGTGCCAGTCCACTGTCCCTCAGACCTTGTGGGGGGCCGGACTATATTTTGGAAAAAAATAATAAATGGATGAATTCTTATGCCCCACAAATAACCCAGAGATGCATTTTAAATAAAAGCACACATGCTACTCATGTAAAAACACCAGACAGGCCCCACAAATAACCCAGAGATGCATTTTAAATAAAAGGACACATTCTACTCATATAAAAACATGCTGATTCCTGGACCGTCCGCAGGCCAGATTTAGAAGGTGATTGGGCTGGATCCGGCCCCTGGGCCTTAGTTTGCCTACCCATGAAAGGAGTTAGGAAGGAGGGCAGGGCCCATCTTCAGACCAGCAAACAATGATGTGAACCTCAAACAGTGGTGAGAAAAAATGGTTGGTTGATTTACAGAAACATTGCAAGTAATTGACTGTTGCACTTGATGCACCCACTGAGTGCAAGTGGTGGTAGATTTTTGCCTCTGCCACCACTTGCAATGTTTCCCCCCACATTATTCTTCCATTGTTGATATTCTTACAAACCAAGAATTGAACTCCCTATTCCAAATAAAGAGGGTGTGCTGTCATTGATATTTTTTATGTCCCGCAAGATTATATTTGTGTGATGGCTTCTTTTACACACTAAATATATAAGATCTCTTAGACTGAATTGGTTTCCTACGTGTCTTACATCATGCTTGATAAATTTTTAACCTTTCTGATATTATTTGGATTAAGATGCTATGTTCTGAAAGAGGATTGTGGACTGTGATTTTATTTTGAGTCTGTGGACCTCCCAAACTTTCTATAGTAAGTACAGTACATTCTAGTTTTCCTTTTGTGGTGGGCAGAGGTGTGGGGAGAGAGTGTTAAATGTTGCAGATGTTGTGGGACAAAATAGCTATCATGCCCTTGTTTTAAACCAAGTGACTGAGGCATGATTGAGTCAAAGCTAAATGCTTCTTTCCCCATAGATTTCTGTGGGGGAGACTTAAATATAACCTTAGCTCTCCCATGGAAGGTAAGTGGGCTCAAAAGTAGTTAACTTTGGCTGGAACATGTTTTGAATTTCCATTCAGGAAACATACTGCTATTCAATTCCAGTTCACTGCAATGGTGCTTACTTGCTGCGTTTGACAGCAGGCGAACATTTGATGGATTACTGCCAAAAACATCAGTCTCAAACCTCTTTGGGTTTTCTAGTTTCAGGTTGGTTGGTTGGTTTGGAAATACTTGGAATGTGAGATCACTTGTTTGCAGTGCAAACAACAACAACAACAAAATGTGTGCCTTTCATCCAGTTGCCTTCTTTCGGTGAGGCAAACTGAATTACAGGTCTTTCTGTATGTGATACAACAAAATAGAAACTAGAGTGGAGAAAAATAGCTAACGGGAACAGAAGTATCATTATTAATTATCATCATTGAAATATTGACCGTAGTTCTCAATCTCAAGCATTCTTGTAGTTCACATTCAAATATAACACATGCATTGTATAAAAAGTAAGTTTAATATTTTCCAAAGCACAGAATTACCTAGTGACAATTTAAATAGTGATGTACCAAGAAGGTGGAAAATACTATTTAAATCAGAAATTGCCCTCCCGCAAGAAAGGTTTCAAAATTTGTGTCAGAATCGTAGTCATTCAAGAGAAAAAGAGCATATTGTTGATATTTTTTTAAAAAAAATACGTCTCTGGCATTGCAAACAAACCTCAATGCAAGTGTAAAGTCACAGGTATAACAAAAAGCAACAGTTCACCACAAGCACAATAAATGACTTTTGTTATTGCTGAGAAGTGCATTTGTTCTGTGGAGCTAATGGCAGGTGGTATAGGAGACTTAGATTTCCTATGGGATACCCATAATGCCTTTCTATGAGCAAAAAAAAACCTGTGGAGAACAACCGCAGAGTACACCAGAATATGGGTTATATCCAGCAAAGGCGTATACTGAGTTAGACCCATTGAAAACAATAGACTTCAGCTGTGTTTAGTTTCAATGGCTTTATTCTGAATATGACTTAGTTGGGGAACCTTTTGACCAGCAATTGTTGGTGAACTACAACTTCCAGCAGTCCTAGCAAGTATGGACAATTGCCAGGGATGATGGGAATTGTATTTCAGCAAATCCTAGAGAGCTATTTGTTCCCCGCACCTGACTTAGTAGCATACAGCACTTGCTTAAGAGCTGAAACTTAAGTGGCAAAGTGCTTTCATGTTCTGTGTGCGCTACGTGAATGATTCTATTCATTTATGGAATGAGGATGCTAGGAATCAGTAGGCCTGGTAGGTGTGCAACAAGCATGTTAACTCTACACACACATTGGCCCTTCATCTGTTAACTGCATGTAAGGTGGGGAGAATAAGGTTTTGATGGTGTGTTTTAGTCATGGCTGCTATGGCAGTTGTGTCTTTTCTCGTCCCACGATTAGAGCGCTGAGTCAAAAGGTGAATGTAAGTAAGTTGCAGTTAAGTTAGCTACATGATCTGGGTAAAACTTTGAAACTGTTAACATGAGTCCCCAGACATAAAACAAGCTAAGGGACATGGTTGGTTTTCATGCAGTGGTCTCTCTTTTGTCACACCTTCATTTCAGACTCCTTTGCAGTTTCTTCTTTCCATGTTTTGATAGAAGCAAATCATTATAAACAGGAGCTGAAATGATCGTTTGCAAATATTCAAAATCCACCCCAAATTTGAAATGTTTTAAATTCAGAATTAAAATCATTTTACCTCAGAACTCTCCGACGTCTCTTAAATGTTTTCATTTTAGCAGGCATCAAAAACTGTCAGCTGTCAAATAATATAAAATACCAAATGCCATTGCATTTTATCTCCAGTATGCTGTCACATGCTAAATATCATTTTGTTTGTACTGTCAGGCATCAAATACTGTTATCAAATGTACTAGTATGACAAGTGGTGATAGCAAATCTCCAGTGAATATTTAGGGAAATATTGTAAGAATATCTACAGACTGTTTGAGATAAGTATACATACAGAATTCTGGTGAATGCATTTATTTCAGCTCCACCATAGATTTCCTCTTATGATAAAACCACACTGTCTGCTTCAAGTAAGTATGTAGAGTTTTAGGTAAGCCATGCATCTACAATTTCAGTGAACACGTATCACTCAAGCATTATTAAAGACAGGAAACAAATCTACTTTCAATGACTATTACTATACGTTTCTCAGGTCATGTAAACACTGCCACCACTTGTCAAGAAGGCGTAAATAATTACGGCCATTTCCAGCACCAAATGTTGGAGTTTTGTTGTGAATACACCAAAGTCATTCATAGCATTCCCAACATTGGTCCTTCCAGCAAACTCCATGTTCCTTTAGCTTAGGGACACCCAGATAGAACTACAGGTACCAAGATGGAAGTAGCTACATGGGATCACCTGGAACATGGCTGAACAGTGAAACTGCCATTGAAAGAGAATTAACAGAAGGAACAGCAAGACTGGACCAGAGTGTGTCATGGAGATTCAAGCGGGTAATGTATCAGCCAATGGAATAAAATACAATGCAAACATTTGCTCCTACACTGTGGCTGTTAGGTTGGTTTTCCTTCACCATATCCATGCCTATCACCTTGTATGCAATAATTCTGTGAAAATGCTTTCCAGCTATAAAAGGAACTGGAAAGCCACGTTGGAGAATACAGCTGAATGTCTTTACCGTTGTCAATTTATTTA